TGATGGTTGGCAGTGGTGGCTAGTTTTGAGTATAATGACATTTCTATAAATAATGATAATAACAAGGGCAATGTTGTCCGAAAAATTTAAAAAGCGAGGACAAAAACGTCTGTATAAGTGAATTGAGTGTTTTGTAAATGTTAACAAATATAAAGTTAATTTGGACCAAATGCTCAACTGTTTAGGGGCAACATGGGAAACAAAATTGTATTACCAAGGGTATGTTTTAATAACAGCAAACCACACAACACCCCAACAAACACGCGCCACCCCCCCACAACACACACACACACACACACAAAGTTGTTAAGATTCCCAGCAATTTACCCCCTAAATGCTACTGTTTGTCATAAAATATTATGGGAATAATTTTTTACAAACCAATCAAACATCGTCATTTAATTAATTTAAAAAAATATTACCCCAATTATCTAATATTAACCCCATCCAAATGGCCCCTAAATTTTTTTATTTTTTTAATAGAAGTAAATATTCACTCTATTTTATACATAAATCATCTTAGTAAAGAAATATATTTGAACTATCGATAATCTTAAAGAAAATAAGAATTTATAAGGTGTTTACTTCCTTGATTGAATAGAATTGGGAAAGTAATGTGAATGTATGAAAGAACTGACTGAGATTACATTGTTTACTTATAATAAAGAATTTTGATGAATGGAATGAAATTTGTGAGTTTTTAGGCGAAAATGCCCACTAGCTTCAATGACTATATATGTGTATTTTGTCACACAAATTGAAATCATTAAAATTAATTTGGCAAAAATCACCTTATAACTTGAAATATTTCATAAAATATTTCAGTTAATTAATATTTGGTAGTTTAAGATATACTTTTAGCAACTAATTCCACTTCAATAGTAATTGATTTGTAGACATAACAAGGTTGTATGACCATAAACCCAAGGGAGGGGGTCAAGAGTGGTCACTTGACTCTCCTTGAGTTAGAAAATTATCATATATATATATGAAATTAACTTTTAAATTTTTAAATTTCACATAAACATTCTTCAAATATATCAAATTTAAACTCTTAAGGGTAGCCACTGGAACTCTTACCCGACCGGTAGTTTCAGGATCCCAAAAGATTAGTTGAGGTGCATGTAAATTGGTCTAGACACCCTCGATCATAAAAAAAAAAAAAAAAAAAAAAAATTCTTAATTTTTAGAAAATACCTCACAAACACATTTAATAAATTATATAATGAATTTTATATCTATTATTTAATTACACAAAGAACAAAAGGAATTAAGTTTGTATACCATTTCATATACTTTATAAAATAAAGATCATTTCCAAAATTTGTTTGTCATGTTAAAAGGCTTTTTATTGTAAACCCATGTGTGATTGATTTTTTTTGTAGTGAGCACCTGTTGGTTTTGAAAATGTGACCCTAAGCCCTATGTGTTTGGCCTTTTTTGTAGTGAGCACCCACTGATTTTGGAATTGTCATCAATTCAATCTTTAAATTTATCAACAATTTCATCAATTTAACCTCCAAAAAATGTATTCATTGTTGATAGAATTTTGATATTAGATTGATTGAATTTGGGTGAATAGTTAAAACATTATTTCCTTACAAAAAAAAAAAAAGCCCTAACGGTACATAAAAAATGGAGGTAAGGGTCGGATTTTCAAAACTAGCGAGGTGCTAACTACAAAAAAAGGCTAAACACACGAGGGTTTTACTATAAAAAAAAAAACCGTAATATTGAACCATGTCAATTGTTTTTTGTCTTAATACTTTCTTACTTAAAAAAAAATGATATCAAAATGTTGAAGTTACAAAGAAAGATAAATATCAAGGTCATCATAAATATCTTAAATAATTAGCAATTCAAAAATATGTATTTTGATGCGTTATTTAAGGGATCAAAATATAAAAGAGAGATTAAAACATAATTGATGATGTTTTACTATGAAAGCTAGATAATAATTAAATGTATGCCTTATTATATATTACAAGCTATAGAATTGTGCTAGAAGTTCTTGAGAATATTTTGTATTGGCCAAAAATTTAGTTAAGAATGTTATAAAGAAATTAGAACTTAGCCAAAGTATATATGTTGTGCCATATGTTAGATTATATTTACAATGATTAATATGACAATATAGATTAATGTATAGAATGTAATCATTGTAAATACAATCTAACATACGATACAACATATATACTTTGGCTAAATTCTAATTTCTTTCTAACATTCTTAACTAAACTTTTGGCCAATACAAAATATTCTCAAGATCTTCTAACACAATTCTATAGCTTGTAATATATAATAAGGTATGAAAACTATACTCATACCAATCAATTTCTAAAATGGTCATGTATTTAATACATAAACCAAATTTCTATTTCTTTGATGTTTCTTTTGATATCTATAATTGGGAAAGCTTTTCTATTCTTTATACAATAAAATCACTTATTATATATTGTTTGTAACTAATCTCAAAACAAGAAACAACAATATACTCATTTGGCCAAGCCATTATTTGGATGATCTTTCTAATTTTAAGCATACAAGCTTGAAAACTTATTGTGGCGTATTGTAATATTATAATATAATCACCCATCTTTTACTATCATCAATACTACACTATTGCAACAATTTAATATGCAATTCTTGCCATTGTTTTTCTAAATTCATAGGTTTCAAAACTCATAATTCAATGTCTACATACAATATGCCATTCAAACTAATGCTAAAAGTTCAAGCAACTTGAATCATGCACTAAAGGCCATTCATTTCATTAAACTAACATAACCAAGTGTTATTCTAAATTTTGGCATAACAAAATGCACTCTTAAACACTTAAACTTATACTTGGTCAAGTCTAATACAACCGTTTATCATCAATTCTTTCCTTTCTTAAACAATATCTTCAACGATATTCAACAAATTTATGCATGCATTTCTTTTTGAATTTTCATCAAACAATTTACATGCACATACAAGTACTTGGTTGGCCACACTTCCACATCTCTCCAAATATCTCAAAATTGAAACAAAACTCACCAAAAACTCAACTCCTAATCTAGCCGAAATCATCATTCCAACATTCCATCAATACTTCTTCCATATTTCATCTATAATTCGCCAAATCATCACATACAAATGAACTACTCTTCATGGTTGAACTTTTACACATCATTCAAGCATTTAAATGGCCAACAATTCTCACCGTACATCATATACAACCATAAAATAATCAACAATTACGATTATGGCTCAAAAGAAGGCTTAAGTTTGATTCACTTACCTTTTTCTTGCAAGAATCCTTTTCTTTGCTTCCTTTGCTCACTTACTCCATTGATTCATGCTAAAATACATAAATTCATGAGAACTCATACTTATAAAACACAAATCACAAACTTTTGCTAAAATTCTTGCCTTAGAAAGCCATAAAATGAACATATATTCGCTTAGGCATGAATTCTCATTTAATTCTTTTGGAAGACTTTGAAGAAATTGAGGATAAATGGAAAGAGAAGGTGGCTGGTGTTTTTGGTGTGCAAATGGTTAGGGTTTTGTCAATTGAAGTCTTATAATTAAATAAATAAATATATTTCCATTTTGCCCTTGCACTTTTACGATAATTTTTTATCTTAGAAAGAATTTCAGAATACGCTTACACGGGCAGGGATCCAAATTTATGCCTCAGCCTAATCTGATTGGCAAACCAGAACATAATACAGAAAGAGAAAAAGAAAGAAAAATATAAAACAGAAAGAATTAGAAAAGAATTTCCAGAAAGAATACAAACATGATCATTTGCATATGCATCAAACATTTTATGCGCATTGCATTTTATGCATTTATGCATAGGTTAAAGAGTTTATTTTATCATTGTGTGTCTTATTAGTCAAGAAAAGAAAATAGAAGCCCATGAGAATGGAGAAGAAAAGAAAGTAAAAGCCTACGAGAATAGAAAAAGAAATTAGAAATATACGAGAAAAGAACAGAAATTAGATACATGCTAGCAAAGAATAGAAATTAGAAACATGACAAATAAAAAGGAAACTTAGCAATTCGTTGAGTAGAGAAGGAAATAGAAAGATGTAATCTAGTAGAGAAGAGAAATAAAATGATAAAGAATAGCACAACACTGGAAAGATTTAAAAAGATTTGAGAAAGAATAGAAGACTGCTAAGTAGTACGCCTAAGAATAAAGGGAGAAAGCAAGCAGAAATTTAGAAGCAGTATAGCGAAAATGGGGATAGCGAAGTAAGAGCATAGTTAGATTTGATTTACTTACTAAACATTTATAACTCACCCCGTTGCTTTATTTATTTTTGCAGGTATTAGATTGTAGCGGTCGGGAGACGTCAACCTGGCGTACAATAATTCCCCTACCATTAGTTAGTCATTAGTAGACCTGGCAAAACGGGTGGGTGGGCCGGGTATGGGCCGAGTCAAACAGGTATGGGTCAAACGGGTACGGGCCTTTATACGGGTCGATATATATGGGTCCATGGGTGGACCCGCGGGTGGACCCGTTTTTTCTCTCTCCAGATTTTAGTTTTTTCGTTTCACCCCTAATAGTTTTCAATTATGATAATTACACCCCCAAAATTCTTGCAGTTTTAATTTTTTACATTTACACCCCTAAATCAACTACTCTAAATTCAATTCAATTAAGAATATAAACAAATAGGAACCAAAGTAAACAAATAACACATAAACAAACAATAACACCTTCCCATTGCATTGTGCGGATAAACCATTTATGTTAATGCCACCAAGAAATATTCTTGTAAGGCTCCAATATTCCCATCTCTGGCTTGGTAGCAAAGTGATTACTCACAGGTGCATTGATTTGATTACATGCGAATTCGCCATTAATTAACACCTATTGAGCTGAGAGCGAGCAGCAGCATCTATCTCAAACCAGCAAGTCAGCGTATAAACATCCGCTCTTAAAGTCTGAAAGAAAGAATGCAAACCATGTACAGGATTTTGTTCATGTGCAAGAAAGATTATTTGAACAAATTATGATCACAAATGGTATCAGTAAACGGAGAACCACAAAAAGAAAAGTTAAGGTCTAATAGTTGTTTTTGCTTTAAAGCAATGTGAAAGGCAAAAGTGACTTTTATTTTCCAATGGATGCATTCCATCCTATGAAAAGGCAGAGCATGATCAAACAGAATCAAACAAGCATATAAATACTTGTTTTTCTTGTTGGAGCATCCCAAATTATGTAGAAGTAACTTGAAAATCTAGGGCTTGGGTGACTGGCGCTTTAGATGATGCCAAAGTTAGCAGGTTCACGCAAGAACCTCTCCATTTGTCGTGCCCTAGTCTTAATGGACATGTCAAACACCTTTTGCCCAAACTTTACCACGAGTCCACCAAGAATGCTTGGATCAATCTGGCATATATAAGAGAAATTTAAATACATTCCCCTGTTAACTGAATTCTGAAATGAAATACAAGCAACAATGTTAATCTCACAAACAAAAATTAAAATACAAAATGCAGTAACCTACCTTAACCATTCAAACAAAAAAGAAACACAAAAAGATCAATATTCATTCCTTCTTTTGACAACCAATGAGCTACAAACACCAAGCTTCCTTTAAACCCTTTTCATTTTACAATAAGCTAAAGAATCTCTGCTTTGAAAATTTGCAACTTCTTCGCACCATTACCAGCAGCAAACTTATCATAAAGTCTCTGAACCTTAAAATCTGTGACAACTTTTTCTTTCTAAAAATCACTTGAATCTTCTTCCAACTCTTCCTTTTCCACATATTAAACCACCAATAACTATACGGTTCTGCTTTGATGTTCAACTATAATTAACAAAGCCAAAGGGCACAATAAATTGACCAAAGTTAAATCATTTTCTAATCCAAACTAACCGCACTTCCCACCAAAATTAATATTAAGAACAAGAAGAAGAAGCTTCATCAATCAAACAACAACTAAGAAAATGCCGTGTTATGTAAAGATTTTCTGATTAATAAAATAAATAATAATTTATTTCAACTTTACTGATATCTGAATCTGATATGTTAGCAGTGGTTTTACTGTCTGGAATTGAGAAATTTTAGTGTTAAAAAGATTCGAATCTAAAAGCCAGCAAACAAACAAGTAAATATAAAAAGATTCAAATCTAAAAGCCAGCAAACAAACAAGTAAATATAATACCAACCGACGAGGATGAGTGACGGCGACCGACGACTGTGGTATTGGGAATGGGAATGACGGATTGGATATGTGACGAGTGACGAACTAACGATTAATCAAAGAGGGAGACAACGACAGGGAGTTGAACTTGAGGTACGAAGAATATGACAAAGATGATGACTGATGAGAGATTGAGAGGCTGAGAGATTGAGACGAGAGGCGTGATAAAATTAGGGGTTTTGCATTTTGGCGATTCATTTCAGTTTTCAGATTTCCAAATACGGGTGCCCGCGGGTGTACCCATCTAACCCGTGAGTTATTGGACCGGGTACAGGTCTCAAAAAAATAGGTTAGATATATTAGACCCGTACCCTATATTTTTTATCTGGGTAAGGGCCGACCCGCGGGTCTGAACCCGTTTTGCTAGGTCTGGTCATTAGTATACTGTTAGAATTTATAATATGATGGATTTACAATATGTTGGATTAATAAATATTTACATAACTACCCCTCTACTATTTATTTTAACACCAAAAAGTTAATGATAGAGAAATTTCTTTTATTTCTATAACCATAGGGGAATTTTAATAATTAAAAAAAAAAAAAGAAGAAAAATTTAATAAACCAAATAAAAAAAAAAAATTTAATATAAATTAAATTAGAAAAAAAAATTAATAAAAATAAATAAAAAATTAATAAATAAAAAATTTTTTTTGGTTTTGTTTCATATTTGTATTGTCAAACATAATTATAAATGTCGTAATTATAAATAAATATTCACATTTTAGTATATATTATACCCAATATACTCTTTATTATAAATTAATTTACAATTGAATTGATAAATTATTTAAGTCTTGACACCAGGGATGAGTTTTTGGCTACGTCTTTGTGTTTGACAGTTGTTACGTATCTCAGTATGAAATCGGTTTCAAATCATGTTAGGAGTCCTAGGAGATCATATGACAAAATTCTTTATATGTTGCCTTTTAAAGGTTTAGTGAAGAAGCATTGTCTTTTATTACGAGGGTCGCCTGAGTACAAGTTTGAATCAAATTCTGTATAGGATAGGCTTATATATATTAGATCTGTCAACATATTTTACCTTTTGTCTTTGAGACTCTTTGAATAAGTATCAAGGTATAAAGACACATTTATTGGATCTTCCAACATATTGGGATCAATGCTCCAAAAAATTTCTTAAACATAAGTCTTAAGATTCAATTTGTATTGCCTAGGGCACTTAGATCCAAATATATTTTATAACTTTAAAGAAGTTCTTTTTACTGATAAACAAGTACATCTAAATCAGCCTTTAGATTATACCTAATTAATTAAAAAGACAAACAAGAAATTACTTCTTTCAAATAAATATGACAAACTTATTACCCTAAACCCCTAAAGTATAATTTCTAATTAAAATAGGAAACAATTAAGACTAAATTTTCTCAAACTTGTTCTAATCACTAACACAGTACATATGAACACCACTTTCAGCTTCTTTTTCTAACTCTTTAACTCAGGCATGGTGTGAATTGCTCCATAATATCTTGAATTAGAAGTGACAAGTTTAAATATGAAGATCCACCCTTTTCCATCGCTCTTTTCGCCATCACTTGAAGTTCTTTTGATCTCTCTCTTCTCTTTTCCCCTTCTTCTCCTCCATCCATCACCATATTTAAAGCTTTCTCGACTTCATCTTTCTTCACCAATACTCCAACTTTCTCTTCCTCCCCCCATCTCACAGTAATTTCAACACCTACTCTAACTCCAATCTCTAACACCTCCACTATCAACTTTTCATTAAAGAACTGCTCAGCGAACAAAGGCCAAGTTATCAACGGCACTCCACAGCAAATCCCTTCTATTGTTGAGTTCCAACCACAATGGGTTAAAAATCCTCCAATTGCTGGATGAGATAATATAAACACTTGAGGCGCCCAACCCTTTATCAGAAGTCCACTTCCTTTTATCCTTTCCTCAAATCCTTCTTCCGAAAACCATTTCTCTAGCTCAGCTCCTGTTTTAACAACCCAAATAAAGGGTTTTCCTGATGCTTCTAATCCCAGCCCCAGTTCAATCAGTTGTGATGGAACTAAGCGGCATAGGCTCCCAAGGCAAGCGTATATAACCGACCTTTCCTTCATTGAGTTGAGCCATTCCAGGCATTGTTTCTCATCAACTGAAGCTTTGTTTCCTCTCTCAAACTTGTCTAGATTCTCCTTATTACATAACGAAACTGGACCAATGCTCCAAACTTTTTTCCCAATCGCCTTCTCGTACTCCTCGACGCAACCATGCTCCAATTCGCTGAAACTATTTACCACAACGCCGTAAGCGGATGATTCTGCCTCTCTCATCTTATTGCGAACACCATCCAAATAGGGTATACTCACAAACGCCCCTGGAAGCTGGGCCTTTGTTACCTCAATCCTTTTTGTCATCCCTGGAACCACAAAAGGTTCGGTATCCGAAGACACGGAACGGTGAGCATTATGTAGCAATATATTATGAGAGCTCAATAATGAGAAGCAACACATCCCGTGAAAAACAATCCTCGGAATCTTGAACTTTTGAGCGGTTTCGGACGTCCAGGAAAGGCACTTATCCGATATTATGCAGCTTGGAGGATGCAGCTTCTGGTTTTCCAGGAACCGTTCCAATGATTCTTGTAGCATAGCAAGTGCTATATAAAATTTGCTCAACAGATCTCGCGATGGGAGTGTGTCGAGATTTTCATAACCTATAGGGAGGCCTACTTCCTGGCATGGAAAAGGAATTTGTACGAGCTGAATTTCCAGGTTTGATTCTATTGCTCGAGAAACAATTTTATCAAATCGTGAAGCATTATGAGGAGTCGTGACCAAGCTGACCTTCACTCCTCGCTCTGCAAAAAGCCTCGCCATGTCTATCATGGGGATCATGTGGCCTTGTGCCATTAACGGCATAAAGACAAAGTGAAGTTTGCTGGATACTGAAGCCATGGCAGCGACCCTGATGAAGATCAATGACAGATTTTATTGGTAATTATAAGTTTATGAGCTAACTGTAACGCTTGCGAATATCTATAGCTAATCGGCGAGATAATTATTAATAGAATCATATCAGCATATGTGGTATACACACTATATGATTGGTTAACACCAAACTTTTTTCCTAATTAGCTAAGTCGTATGGGCTGAACTTGACTTTGAACAAGTCCCAAATAACCAGTTAACTAAAAGGCAGATATAGTTGATTTACTTGGTTTAATTGACCTACGTTTGCAGGATTAGTTTACCTAACATGGATTATCGATGAAGTTGACTGAAATATTAGAATAACATCACCATATTTACTTATTTATGGAGTCAGAAACTATGAGTTTTGGATATGAGTTAATACTTTTCTAGCTGAATTTTCAGAATCAGCACATGCAAGCGTTTACTGCCCCAGACAATACGGGTTGATTGGCTGTGCATAATTAGGACACCATTAACGACGTGAAGTTTAATCTAGTTACTATCGCCATCCTCGTGTGCTTTTGAACTACTTTTTGAAGCACTATCAAATTATAATATAAAGGGTCCATCGGGGTAATTTTTTGTTTTTTATTTTTATTTTATGAAAAAAAAAGAAACACTTTTAGGTAAATAATGGCCTTTATTTTTTTCCTAGAAAGAAAGTACTTGAAATTAAAAAAAGAAAAGAAATTTATAATGCAAACTTGATTTCGCTCTGACTTGGTATACAATATGAGCAAAAGGAGTTGATTAATCGTTCGAAAAAATGAAATATGTGAGCCATGAAAATAAAATATGGTTGAATGAGATATTTGAACTACATAAATTAATATTCTAATTAATACGTAGTTGGATTAGTTGAATGATTCAGTGAATATTGTGGATCTACGTAGCCTTCTTAGCCAATTTTGCTGATACCGTAGAATGCATGGAAGCAAATTTAATGGTTTAAAATTACTGTACAATTGACCTAGCTACATAATTAAATAATATCCTTCTTCTTGGTGTGAATACGACTAGCTACGTACTAAATAAATCAACTATTTAATAATTATGAAGGTTCACATGGTCCATACGGCCCTACTTTTGTTCCTTCATTGACTTAAACCTTTGCGTGCCGTAGGGTTTAGTTTTGATTTATATTACTTACATATAATCTTCTTATTCCACCATTAAAAATCAATGGATTTTGTCAAATTTTCGATCAAGTTTAGTTATTAGATATTTTAGTTAGTCTTAATCTAACCTTAAAAATTAATTGGGTTATGTTTCAATCTAATCTATTACACTTGAACAATGTGGAAAGGAAAAAATATTCTAAACCTCCTGAGGTGCACCAAATACAAGGTTTTCAAACCTGGGTCAGATCGGGACCCAGGGACTGAGTCGGGCCGGTTAGAGAATAAAACTAAGAATTGCAGTTAACTTGTTCTAACTTGTGGTTGGATTGGTGCTACTATAGTGAAACGTCGGTCCAACCGATTTTGTCCCAAAACCGGGTCACCAAAACTCTGATTATGACAGCTTCCTCCCTGATTCCTACAGATTCCAATGCCAAAAATCACCTTTGACCACTCCATTTGCCTCATTGGCTTCTCCCCATAGAAACCCCAACACCCTTGACCTTGGTTGCTTGCCGATCGCCATAGTTAGCCTTTAGGATTTCATGATCTTCACTTTTTTATGATCGTTCCTGGCGTCGAAAATCACTCTCGACCCCTCCATTTGCCTCACTAGCATCTCCCCATCAAAACCCCCAACACCCCCAACCCAGGTTGCTCACCGTTCATCGTTAGCCACTCCTTAGGGTTTCGTGATCTTTGCTTTTTTTTTTTTTTAGGTCATTCTCGATGCCGAAAATCACCCCAACCCCTTTAATTGCCTCACCGACATCTCCCCGCAAAAAGCCCTACAACCCCGACCTTGGTTGCTCGACGATAGCCGTTAGCCATCCCTTAGGGTGTTGCGATCTTTGCTTCTTCCTAGTCGTTCCCGGCACCCAAAATCACCCAGACCACACCATTTGCCTCACCGACATCTCCTCACCAAAACCCCAATTGTCCTAAAGTCCGATTGGCTGCTGATCATTGTCGCCGTCACCTATTTACTTTGCGGTTTCCTGCCCATATCGCTAATGCGTGATTTCATATGCATATTTAACAAGTACACTAGTCGCAAAAAGTAATAAAGTAATAAGTAGAGTATTGTTCCCACGAGGATATTGTTACTAAGTATTAAATTCTCTAGTTTTAGTCCTAATTGAAGAATCAAACAATTTGAATGATGAAATATTGACAATCTAAAGAAAAGATTAACAACTAATGAATGAAAATGAAATTAATGCAAAAACCCAATATCAAAACAAATCAAACAATGCTTAAAAACACTAGAGTATTTGATTTCACCTAGATACGCTAGTTCGATTTATAGGTTCTATTACCCAAGCTCCAATTTCTTGATTGAAAATCGAATTCCCTATATTGTTTGATACTCATTCTCAAGTTCTATCAAAACCACCTATTCCTATTAACCTTCCGCTCCCAAAAATTGAAGCTTAATAGTTCAAAGTCTATTAAGCTTTATGGAATTCTTCTAATATTTCATAGATCGCATTTGTCTATCTCTAGATTTCGCTCAACCTATCGTATTTATCACAAGAAGCACATATTATGAATCACTTCTCGGTCTCATCATGAACAACACATCATTTGAATGGTAATCAAGCATCCAAAGACAATAAGCTAGAAATAAACACTCAAATCATGAAATTAGCACTCAAAGAAAATCAAATCATATAAATTTAACTATTGTATCAAAGTTTACATCAAAACCCTAACTCAACAGTTTAGTTTATGCTCAAAATTGAAATAAAACAAGAGGAACAAGAGAAATCAAAGTTCGTCATGGAAAAATAAACAAGTTTGGAGAATCTTCTCTAAGATTTGGCTTGAATCTTCACTTCTCTTCTTCTCTAAGTTTCTTCTATTTCCTTGAATGAACCAGAGACCTCCAACCTTCTTTTCCCTTCATTTTCGCTTCAATTTATACCCTTCTCACTTAAGGACGAAGCCTTAGCAAGCCAAAATGTGTTGTTTTATTTTTTTCTCAAATTTCCCAGTTTCGCCGTGGCAAGGAATTTTCTTTGCCATGGTGAAAATCTAAAACCCGTAATTCCATAAGCTTTTTCGCCGCGGCTAGAATAAATTCTTTCTACGGTGAAGTTAAATGGCCAACATTGAGTCTGAAAACGTCTGAATTTGGAAATGTGGTAGACCTACTAATTGTAGCCTTTTAAATTATATTTCCACTCATTCAAAAATCATCTCAATCCGAGGTCTACAGCTCAAGTTATGGCCAAAATACTTAAGCACGTGCGAAGACGTCATATTCAGTTTGTAAACGTGTCGTTCATAACCTCAAGCCAAGTATCTACCCTCTTCTAGTTAGAATTAGGAAAAATCTAAAACATGGAAGTTTTAGATCTACCTCTTAGATTTCCTTAGCTTCTTGATTCAGATTATTCTAACTTAAGAAACTCAAATTACGCCATTTATACTCAAAACCGTCATTTTTGTTCAAAATCACCGTTTAGGCCTACAAAGCACAATTAATAGAGTTAAATCTCAATTATGGCCCAAAATGTATTAAAATCATCCTAAATCATATTAAAATTCAATGCAAAATCTCTATAAAAAATAGGATTATCAATCGTACAGGTGTATTTGCTGGATTTCAAACATATACGGTCTGATGCATAATTTCTCATGGGTGTGTTTACTGGATTTCAAATCTGCTTGATATGACAGTCAAACCACCGGTCCATCCAATTCAATCGGTCAATTTGGGACTCGGTCACCTGACCAAGTCATTGATCGCGTTGGTTTTGAAAACATTGCTCTAATAATAATAAACCTCTTTTGATTCTAGATATTGCTCTCAACACCCTGCCATTTTTAAAACATGAATTGTAGAATCAGAATCAATCCATCAATCATTAAGAAAACACAAATCATATTAGATTCATAACACCCAAGAGATGTGAAGTTATCTTTCTTTTAGGACAATCCTTCTTCATGTGTCCCTTCTTTTTACAGAAGAAACACTTGGTCTTGTCCTTTTTTCCTTTGCTTGTAACCCCATGCAACTTGTATTTTCCCTTCCACTTCTTATTCTTGCTAGAAGTGAACTTGACATTTCCTGTCACCAAATGTGTAATTTCATTCACTTCCTGAAGCAAGCTCTCCTCCACTTGAACACACATGGTCAAAAGTTCATTCACTGACCATTTAGCCTTTTGTATGTTGTAGGATATCTTGAAAGGAGTATAATGAGATAAGAGAGAGTTTAGGACATAATGCACTAGGAAATCATCATTAATCACCATCTGAAGAGACTTCAACTGAGTAGCAATGTCTCTCATTTTCATAATGTGCTCACAAACTCCTCTAATATTGGTGAGCCTCATAGATGTCAACTTACTCATCAGGGTGTTGCCTAATGTCTTATCTGATGTTTCAAACTGAGCATGAATAGCATCTTAGATCCTCAACATTTTCACACTTCGGTATCGACCCACGAATACTACTCATAATGTGAGACTTGATAAACATTATGCTTAAATGGTATAGGTGGCTCTTCCTTACGAAGAGTATAGTCAAGATCAATGCACCCTAAATGGAAAAGAACGACTTCCCTCTATTTTTTGTAGTTGTCACCACTCGAATAAGGAACTTTATCCTCAACCATTATAAAAGTTTGATCAACTGTAGGTACATCAACATATATTTTTGCTAAATAAAATTATGAGACACAAACCATCAACAACAATTATAAGTTTACAAATGTAAAACAAATAACTAATCTTAATTGAATCGATATATCATAAAATCTCCCTAATCTTAATTGAATCGACATATCATAAAATCTCCCTATAGGTAAAGACATTACATATTATGATTCATTATCCTTTAATGATGAAACTAGAAATTATTAATATTTCATAATATCGATAGGCTAATTAAGAAATAAAAATAATTTAT